TTCACAGGTGGAGGTGTGGGTGGACGTGTGGGGAGCGTGAGATGTGAGACTCCTACAACCCCTCTGCCCACACCCACTCCCTGTAGCAGGAGATAATTGGCTGAGTTTATAGCCTGTCTTGTATCTCAGTTTGATGTGTGCGTGGTGGCCAAGTTAATTAAATCCCTCTGATTAATCTGCACTGCTGTGAGTCCTTTCTCTAAAAGCAAAGGGGGAGAGGAGAGATTACGAGTGCAGTGGAATGGAAAGGCGTCTGCTGAGACAGACCCACTCTCACTTCCTCCACACATAATGACTGAACTCAACTGGAAGTCTTACACAGCGTCAAAACAAGAGCGCTAACACCTACAAGTGGCCGTACTGCATTGTTTCTCCCCATTACAGACGGCTACCACCTCTCAGAAGCTCCATGCAATGCCAACTCTACTAAAAAACGATGAAAAAAGCTCCTGCCAGTACCTCTGGAAGCTTATTGCCTGGAAAATGAGTTGCAGTAGGTCCGTTTTGAGGATCGGGCATGAGCGTGGATATGCTGGATGATAGAATTGCCCATAAAAATAATAAGAAATTAAAAGCAATGCTCCACCTTCTGATTGGTCGCTTTTAAATTTGACCACACTAACGTCCATGTGACTTACAGGAGCCACAGAGTGGGGTTTTAAAACCATAACTTAATCTGTTGAAATACTTAGCTTATTGTGTTATTGCTGTTTGACAAAAAAAGATGAATAAAGATTGACTTCGGTTGATTTCAAACCCTCTGATTAATTGATTTTTCTTTACTCACATCCCACTATAAGTTACAACAAAACCTTTGTCACTTCCTTATAGAGACGTCAAACCTTTTTGCTTCAGGTTTGAAAATATCAGGGCGGGGACCTCTTTGTCACCTTTAGCCAAAAGGTTGCCCTCTTTACGCCACGCATGCCGTTTTCTTCTCAAGGCCCATGCAGATCTCATGTTTTTAGAGCATAATGACTGGTTGGCAAGAGAGGAGCCTCCCATCTCCAAATCATCAGAACAAAACCTCACTAATGATAGAGCGTATTTTAATGTGTAATGTAAATTCATTTGTCATAGTTATAAAAAAAAAACAATGACTTAAAAATAACATTCATCCATTTATACTTTCTTACCCATCTATATTACTTTATTATTATACAGCATATTTTGTCTGTCATGAAAACTAAATCTAAACTATCTAATCTATATATATCAATTCATTTGAGCTATTCTTTGTCTGCTTCAGTGACAGTCTGAAATTCTCTCATCTGTGTAAGACTACAGCTTTTTTTTCCTCATCAGCCATATTCAGAGCAGAGGACTGTCAAAAACGGGTCAGATCTGGGGCCACACGAGGCGGCTTCCTGTTCCGATCTAGATGTTAGGATGACGGCTCCCACAGGTATTTTTGTTCATTCTTAAATTACACATGCTTTATAAAAAGAAGACACTATACAGTGCTCGTGACTGAGTCTGAAGGGACCTGACAGCAGAGAGCAGACTCAAACATGCTTACAGCTAAATGATACATGCGTAAGCAAACTCATTCATCCCCCCCTCCCCCAACCACACACAGGCCCAGCAGAGGCAGTGGACTGGGCTCAGGACTTCTGCCTTTGACTGAAGAGCATCTCTCTCAGTTTCATCCGCCGCAATCTGAATGTAATAAAACGGACACAAGAGGTGGCAGCAGCAGGGAATAAATGATGCGGTGGGCAGATCCACCGAGGGGCGGCTCAGATGTAATGCAGAATCAGAGCATGCAAGATGGTGTGATGGAATGAAGCGGTCAAAAGCGAGCGAGAGCGGAGGGGAGGAAGACCGAGGGGAAAAAAGAGGCTGGGGTGTTTGTCATGCTGAGGCTGTCCAACTCTGGCTGCAGACGGAGCGGCCGGGCCATTTAGAAGCCTCTGTGTGATGCAGGAGGAATAATTAGCACGGTGGCCACGGCCGTCTGAAAAAAAAGAATAGAATGTGGAGGAAGGGGAAGCAGCATGGGGCATTTTCCTCCATTTCTGTTGAAAGGAGCCGCTACAGTTTAGCTTCCTCAGTGCGAACAGAAAGAATAGCGTGATCGGTCTGCAGGGTGGAGGCTGGAAACAGGGAGGACATCCCATCACTACGCCCGGAGCCACCAGAGTCTGCAGCACGCCGCACAGGGGGGCTGCACCAAATGCTAAAGCTGGCATGATGACCAGTAGCTCACAGAACAGCAGCATTTAGTTAACGTCCGCTAAATGAATGTTTCTATAGAAAAGGACTCACTAAAGCTCCTTACTGAAGCATCCAATGACCACATTCCAGGGACCTTTTTGAGACAGAGTCAAACTTCTAAGGGGATCAACCCAACTGTTGCTAGGTCTCACTTAGACGCTGAGGACTGGAATGATCGTGGTGTGTGTTTAATGGTGACACACACACTGTATCGCAGTGGTTAAAGCAAACAAGCTCTGAAGAACCCTCATTAGAGAAACTCAGAGGCAGAGCCAGACTGCACTCTTATGACCTGTGTCAACATCAATTAAGTTCAATTAGAGCGTACATAGTAATCGACTGAGTAAGTAAATGAAAGATTTTCACCCCCTTTTTCAACTTATTAAAGAACCAGTCTCACAAACCGTGATGTGATTTCAACAAATTTATCAAGCATTTAATCAAATTAGCTGACCTCAACAGGTATGACGAAAAGAATTCCAGAGATACACACATGAATACTTTTTTGGGTCAACTGTATTGCGTTTTTTAAAACAGTGAAAGTTAACCAAGCCGACAACCCCAACATGGCTCAGCTGACTCGGCTGTTTGCTGTTATCGGTCGTGGCTGCAGGCACAAAAAAAAGCACCTCCTGGGAACTTGGATTTTTTTCTGTGTATTGAGAAAGCATATTAGAAAAATTTCAACAAAAACTGGGCGATTTGGACAAATTAAATCTATTCTCAATTTCACAAAAACGTGCCAAGGTGAGCTGTTCCAGTGAATGCAGGTCAACAGTGACATCTGACACTTCCTTTTGGATTATATTTATTTAATTTTAATTCACTAAATGGCTATTTTATGTATCAAATAATGATACATATATGTCCATGTTTTAGCTATTTGACCAATTTGAATTTGGCTTTTTTTATTCCATTCTATTTGATTTTCTCATACACATGGGAGATGATTTCATCTTCTAAGTACACTATGCTATCGGTTGTATTCACCCATAACCAGATAATTGAGACAGGCATGAGCTGAAGCGGGCCTTTAAGCAGCCATAACAAGGCAGCTGGTGAGTGTGTGACCTCTGACCCCCAGCTCCCCATCAGCAGCACTGGCTTTCACCTTTCATGTGGGTTTGCTTCAGAAAACACAGAGCCTGCACCCGGTGAAACTGTACAGGTTGTCTTTCCATAAAATCAAGATAAAGGATTCGCTCATTTCCTCAACAAACGCTTTAAACTTAAAATGGAATCATCCTCTTTAGCATTTTTACTGTGTAGGACACAAAAATATTTTGATTTTGTTATCTCAAAGGCATTAACCATATGCATATGCGGTTTGTTTTTCAGCTTTACAATGAGAAACACAGCATGGGAAAACAATGCCACACCACCAAAATGAGCAGCAGCACCCAAAAGACCAACGTGATTCACATCAATTCAATTCCCAGTGATTCCAGAAATAAAGAAACACGGCAGCTTTAGAACAGTGCCGTGTTGTCCTTGACATCCTCGATCACCATCTTGTTATCTTAGGTGTATTTTTAATATCTGTGTTGTGTCATCCATCCATCTATTACTATAATCGCTTATTCCCTAATGGGGTCTCGGGGGGACAGGAGCCTATCCCAGTGGTCAATGGGTGAGAAGCGGAGTCATCCTGGACATCACAAGGACACGCAGAGACACACAAGGACCAACAACCACGCACACTCATACATTCACTTCTAAGGGCAGTTTGGAGTCCAACAACCTAACATGCAGGTTTTTGGACGGAGGGAGGAAGCCGGAGAACCCGGAGAGAACCCACAGACACAGGAGAACATGCAGACTCCACCCAGAAAGGTCCTGGTTCCCCGAGGGACTCCAACCCAGAACCCTCTGGTCCTGGACTCCAACCCAGAACCCTCTGGTCCTGGTTCCCCCGCTCCAACCCAGAACCCTCTGGTCCTGGACTCCAACCCAGAACCCTCTGGTCCTGGTTCCCCCGGGACTCCAACCCAGAACCCTCTGGTCCTGGTTCCCCGGGTACTCCAACCCAGAACCCTCTGGCTGTGAGGCGATGGTGCTAACCACTACACCACCTCTGTGTTGTGTCATCTCCATCCTAGAACTGAGGCCTGGATTGATGCTGAACTTAGGTCAATATGTGACCAACTCAAATATTCCCTGCCTCCATCTTTGGTGAAGTGACATCACATTTGCATTGAAAAAAGAAAATCATCATATTACAGACACAAGTCAGGCTCACTGAAATACGGGATCTCTAATCAATAGGGCAGCAAAACCAGAAAAGTTCTGTCTAAAAGTGCAGATAATGGGACGTCTGGTGAGGTAAATCGAGCTGCTTCCTCTCCTGAAGCCTTCCAGTGGGCCTGACAGGCAGCAGGGTGCACAACAAGCTGCCTCCTATGTCTTTAAGAGAGCCTCGGTGCTAATGCTGTTACCAGGGCAACCGGTGAATAAACTGCTTCTGAGGCAATTTCCAGTCTAATAATAACTAATCGCCGGGAATGTAAATCCACCTCAAAGACACTGCCCTGTCCCCACGGAAACTGGGCCACTCCAGAGTCCCTGGGATCCGGCCCAGGCTCCTCCACCCGTCCCCCCAAACACAGCTGGCCTGATGTGGTCAGCCCCCGGCCTCACCGAAATCTGCAATTCAGTCGGTGCTCCACGGCTGATTGAATTACCACACAGGACCTTCTCCATGAGGCCTGGTAACCATGGAGACACCGCTGGCCATCTGATATGGTAAAATATGCAAATGTGAGCGTCAACCGCTGGTGGAACACCAAATCAGACAATTACTGAGATGTGGGGGTGCAGGTATGATAACGACATGTAATTTAACATTAAATCCCTCTCCCCTCATCATGGGTGAACACCAGGGCGTCTGGCAGCCTCGCGCGCGGGTTACAGAGGGGGCTTCTCATGGAAACCATCAACAGAAACAATAGAATGAATCCGCTTTTCCTCCTCCGCGGCTCCAGGTGCTACAACAACCTTTAGGAACACGTCGATACGGAGGGAAGGAAGGAGAGGGGATTCGGGGAGGGAGGCTCTGTTGATATGTAAGGACAATGACGCCCTTTGGGGGATACAAGGGAGAAAAAAAAACGCTGATGCATTCACATAAAAAGCCCCTCAAAATCCCACCGTCGCCGACACCTTTACCGTGAAGGAAGCGTCTCAGACTTACCATTTCGGGATTTAGCCGCGCTAAAATGGCGAAGGTGGACAGCCTGTCACACACGCATTTGGTTCTGAATGAGTCGACTAGCACCGCTTTGCAGCCCCTGGCAGACCAGGATCCCAGCAGAGAGGAGCTGCACGGGAGAGGAGAAAAAAAATAACACACACAGACACGCGCGCACGCGCGCACAGACAGAAGAGGAGATGCGGTGAATACAGAGGCAGCGCCAGGCGAAAGGCGAAAAGGCGAAAAAAGGAGAGCGGTTCGAATCCCACCGCGTTACGAGGTTTATTTTAGTCCGTTTTTACATGTCCGCCGGACGCAGGAGGCGCAGGGAGCGAAGTGAACGCGGCAAAGAGGCGGCACAGAGGCGGCAAAGAGGCGGCGTGCCGCAGGTCTCCGGACACATTACGGCAGAGCACCGCACGCGACCACATCAGCTTTTACCGCCATAAAACCGCCTAATCATCATCATCAGCATTATTATTATTATTATTATTATTATTATTATTATTATTATTATTATTAT